AATGCCGATAGGCGGTAATCAGCGTGTCGCCCAGCGTGACAGCACGCGTGATGTGAGCGTGCGCATGCAATTGTCGCGCTATACCGGCCGAACGCGCGTAGATTCATAGAACGTTATTCTTATTCTCGTTTTACGTTGCTTAAGAAAAATTATTGTGCCGATAATATGTTGGGTCGCTAGCGAAACCCTAAACAGGCAGTGCAGTACGAGTGAGTCCTTAAGCAATCTCGAGGCAAGCTTCGGCCTAATATCACGTTTCGAGTCCATTGCTCATCGATATAATTATTTATTTTGTGTGTGTGTGTATGTTGTGTATTTGTGTGTTAATTCTTCGATTATCTTACTTTTTTGTTTTTCTCTTTCGTTTTTAATTATTACTTACAAGTGTACGATTAAATTTAACCTTACATTTTCGTTTAAAAGGTATACGGAGCATGTACAGTGGTACAGTTTCTTTGGAGTATCATGCCGACGCATGTAACTATCCTTTCCTGCTTTTTTTTCCTTTCCTTTCCCGCGTTCATTCCTTCTCTTCGATCTTTCGTCCCAATCGCGATGCGGACGATGTCTCGTTATACATACATATATTAGCATCCCTTTGAGCCAGCCGGGAGTGTGTTTTCATCTTCTGCGCACTCTTCCTAGCTCTAGGACAGTTCCACTGAGTAAAAATAAAAAGAAAAAAGAAATGTCCTCCCTTTATTTTCGTCCTTGTGTAAACTTGTCAGTATGTTTCTCTACATTATTATATAGTAACGTTAAAAATCACGGTCCTCTAAACCGGACGTAGGCGCGGTTGGTGTACGCGGGATATGACCAATAATAATCGGATTCGCGAACGTTTTCGTTTACGCACTTCGTTTATATATTATCGTCCCAGCGCGATCGATGTCGCGGAGCGTCGCTGGGTAAATGATATCGAGATTATTTCCCCCGAAGAATATATATGCTCGACGGTCCTCTTAATCGGTAAACGGGCGAGACTCCGAAGGGATTATCGTTTTATAACGTACGATTCTACTACGTCGCTCCTGTCTCGTGGTCGTGCGAAACTTATGTATCCTGAGCTGATGCTTATAACAGCCTTCTTTCGTAGATGGATGTCCAGCTACTAGAATTGACTTAAACTCCTCTCATGCGGAATCACGTGTGATGATGATTCTCGTTGTGCTGCGATGGTTGGTCTTCGGTGATGATCACGTCGTCGTCGTGGTAGATAAAAGCCAGTATCAAAATCTTTGTAATCGCGATTTTAATCTAGCTTTCTCTGTTCATTCTCGATTTTAATCTAGCTTTCTCTCATCCAGCTTTTAAAGTGTTACCATCGTCTCATGTCCACTCTTGTCTCGCATGTCATTCACATCACGTCTTAAATTGTTTTTTCTTTCGTAGTGACCACTGCTCTGTCACCATCATATCTACCGTATCATACAGCTTGAATTAAGCTAACATAACGCTTACGTAATGTTATCTCCATCGTATATTTAACTTTTACGCGAATGCTACCATCCTGATCATTTTAGCTCATTGACAGTTTCGATCATGGATTGATTATGAAAAATCTGTTTCGACTTTTTAACTACCTCAACACGCGCTTTCCAAGTGCGCGCTCTGCTTTCTTCTCGCCTGTCGCTGCCGAAACTGATGAAACTCCGCCTTCATCGCTTGCACTCTGGCCTCAATGTTTTCTCTGCTGTACCTCGGCGCTTGATGATGTACCGTGTGCGCCTGATGGATGTGGGGAACGTGAATGGCGTGGATCTGATGCATCGGCGGTCTCTCCTCCCGCGTAGGCGTCGAGGCCGATGTTGGCGTCGGCGTACACGACACTGGATCGAACTCGTAATGGCCGTCGACGCTGCCGGCGTCCACGGCGTTTTGTATGTGCGTATGACCCACCTTGGCCTGATCCTGAAGCTCGAGCCAGCGACCCACCAGAGGCGGCGGGGGCGGCCTGTAGGGTGGCGGTCGCCACTCGGCAACCGTGCTGCCGCTCCTCGAGCTCTGGTTCTGCTGCGAGGTGTTCTTACTGCCGAAGCCCGAGCTGCTCGACCTGCTCTCGGGCGAGGTCTCCAGGTCGGGCGAAGCCGCGAGCTCCGGCGCTGATCGGGCGTGCCTGGCGTGTCTCGGCGGTAGCCTCGCTCTTGGTCGTCCGGCTGGCTGCGGCGGCGATGACGTCGCCAACGGCTGAACCGGCACGAACCGCCTGGATTCGGCGTGGATCGCCTTAAGCGACGGTAACTCCTGGCTGTATCGCTGGTGTACGCTACGGAGCTGTAGATAGCCGGGCGGCGTCGGGAAGGAACGTTCGCCGGAGGATGGTTGCTTGACGGAGCTGAGATCGCTGAAATACAGCGGGGTCCAGGGCACCTGGGCTCCGCTCGGCGAACTGGCTAGAAACCTGGGCGATGCGATCGCGCAGGCGGTTACGGGCGGTATCCTCGCCAGAGAGTTGATCGCGCCGTGATGGTAAGTCGACGGCAGGGGACCTATCGACACGCCGCTGCCATCGGATCTCAGGCTGAGCTGGCTGATGCCGACCAACGGTCGTCGCCACGAGGACTTGAGCCGCTGCTTTGGTAGGAAACCGCCATCGTCGCTGCTGGAGACATCCAGGATGCTGTTGTTGGCCGAGCTGAGAACCGAATCCGCAACGACGAAGCGGCCGTCAGCCGCCCGGGAGATCTTGCCCAACGGACGACAGCGGCACGAGTCCGGCGTATCCGGACTCAGGATCTCCTTCAGGAGGCTTAAACCTGGTACTCGGCTTTTTCTAGGTCTACGGGTAGGACAGAAGGAGCGTTAGAGCAATCGCGGCGGTGGTGGTCGGCAAATACGGTCCGATCGAAATCGTCGGAGGAAGTCTCGGCCTAAGATCCGCATAGGATCCGTCGCCTGTTTTATAGAATACCGAAATTTCTCTCAACGAGTATATTATAGTTGTCGCAAATTTAAGCGTGCATAAAATGATATGAAAGCAAAGAGACACACAGTAGTGATTATTACATGTTATATTATTACGAACAGCATGTTTGATATAAAAATGGAAACTTTATTTAATTTAATCCAACATATATCCAAGTGTTTTTTGCGACCTCCGGAAATTTCAGTACTCGTTTTGTACATGTGGATTATTTATAAAGCTCTTCTATGGAAGCATTTTTGTTTAATTAAATATCTCATCGAGATAAATGCTTTTGAGAATATTCTTCCTCCGACGTGGTCCATTGGCCGCTCGGTACAGCAAATACGTGCAACATGAACGACAAAAAACACGCAACGTTAACGAACAAAAGTTAAATAAAGTATTAGAACAAATGTAACGTAAATGCCAATGTTCAAGTTAAATATATGGCAAGATAATTATCAATATAATTAATTATACTTGTACGTATAATAACGAATAACGGATGCAGGCAGGGAAGGCATGCTCATGCGCATTCCGGTGCACGAGTGGTCGGGCGTGACGTGGGTTGTGGATGGTTTCGGCAGTGAGTGGATCTTTTTTTTTCTCTCTTTAACTTTTGCATAAAACGAATCTTATGTATTTTTCTCTTGTATATATATTTTTTTCTCTTTTTACTCGAACAAAATTTTGTTTCGTTATCATAGATCTCTTTTTTTTGCACGATTTTCTGTACTTTTTTTAGACTTTGATCAGTGAATATATGTAGCAATTGTGAATTTTGGTGCTCCGAAACTCGTCACCTTTTCTCCTCCTTCGGGTCCGGCAGCAAGGAAAGATGGGGGAGAGAGAATATGTTGTAACACAACGATTACATTCACAAAAAACAATATATCGTGGCGATAATAATAAGAAATATAACGCTAAATAACCGAACGTTACTTCTAGGCGGTGGTGTTAGGGAGCAAATAGATAAATAGTGTCGTATGGGTGTCGGTGAAGACGCGGTTTCACCGTCGTGGCACACATCGATTGGTACGAGCCAATTAATCGGATTCAATACCAGAAGTAGAAAAAAATCTTTAATGCGATATATATATTTTTTTCTTCCTTTAAAAGGTATATTATAATAAAGGTATATTGTAATGAAATATGCGGAAAGATATGGCACAAGTATATAAATGGCCAGTCGAGTGCTTCGTAATAAAGAGATTAATATGATTTGTGGAATATCATTTATTTTGGTAAAATAATTCTCAAGAGTAACACAGCGCGCTATAAAAATCGATTGAATAAAACGATTAGGCTTTTCTCAAGTCATACGACTTTTATTTCTCGAGGAAGCACTCGAGTCTGCAAAAAAAAATAGAAAGACACAAGAAAAATATGTAATATATCAAAATAAATTAAAAAGTGTCGTTGAGAGAAATCAGGTGATAATAAAAGATTAGATTTATGGAAGGGAGGATTTAAAAATGTGTAAATATATCGATTCGAGTTGGACTGAATAAGGTAATGCAAGGAAGTATCGTGAACGATTAACAGGTAGATACGACAATGGTAGATGTATATATGACGGATGCAAGAGTTTTCGCGTGGCCGCAACGAGCGCGGCTTACCTATCTCCGCCCTGCTTATTGCTGAGTGTTCGCGTGTAAGCGTGAGCGTGTCTGTTTATTGGTCGTCTAGAATCGACAGACTGGAAACAATCAAATAACACAAGAAGCTTGAATTAGAGCTTCGACTGGTCGCAATAATTGTTGCGGCTCTACGCGCTATTTATGCGCCGCTGAAAAACTTGATGTAGCACGAATTTTTATTTGATCCCTCTGACAAATATTCTCCTTTGTAACGACCAATTGTTGTCGGAATACTGTTTTTCGTGTTTGACAGAGAAAAAGTGATACTTGTATCGCATGCGATTTGTGTATGGAGAGAGAGAAAGGGAGAGGGCATTGTACTAATACTGTGAAAGTAGCACGTAAGATTGATTAATATTGTGATATGACGAAATAAGATTAATAATATGAAGATATAGCATTATGGTAAGCCCGGTATCGATGAAATGTGTACTTTGAAATTTTTCAACACTTGTTAATATAGCTTTTGTGTCTTTAATTAAAAAGACGTTGCAAACATCATTAAACAACATGCATCAAATCGGGATTAAATAGTCTAGAAATTTTTATAGCAAGCTACTGGATAATTTTTATAATAAGTATTTTGAACAATAAATGTTACTTCTAAAAATTTTGTTACTTGAATAAAATACAGTTATATATGCGAAATTATGCGAATACACCAGTAACTTTCTATTATTTGTTTATGAAATGAATTTTAATGAATGCTAAGAAGAAATATTTATAACAAAGAGAAATTTTCGCGATATAAATAAAATAATAACACAAGTTGTTATAAGGAAACTCGATGGTTATTCTAAATAAATACAAATTAATTTTCCTTTTGAGAAAGAGAGGTTATTTCGAGAGAAACAGTAGCTCGAGAGATAAAATTGAATAATATTTATTGAATGTATAACACATCGAGTCGCCGTAAATTCATCTGCCAATTAATAATTAATTGAAAATGTTAAAGTGATAGGTGAAAGCGTTAGTGAAAATCAAGCGATACACTAATGATTTGTAGTGAATGAATAAGAAAACGCATTAACAGAATAGTATACCTTTTAATATCATATTTGTAATAATAATCTGAAAGATAGTAACAATTAAAATGTATAAAAGAGAAGTTAGAAATTTGTGACATACTCTGAAAAATATTACAGTTATATCGAAATTTTATAAAAGTTTTTTATAAAAGTTAAAATATACAAATGAGATATTTTAGATATTAATGGAAATATAAATTTAAAAATTTGTGATATGGACAATTGTAGAATGTGAGTACAAATATGATAAAGATTGATATGATAAAATTGATAGATTGATATGATATGATAAAATATGATACAATAGCGATATATAAAAAGATATTAAGCAGACATGTGAAATGAGATAAAAAAGTTTAGAAATTTCGCGCGCGTGAAAACGGACGACGATAAATTCTTTGAATTATTCAACAGGCGCAACCTATCTGAAAAAGTCAGTATTTGTACAGAAATAATAATAAATGTAAATGTTTTTCATTTAAAAAATATTGGGTGCAATATAGGATAATTACAGTCTTTCACAGATTAAAGTTATTCTCCAGAATGGCCACGTGAATGGTTATTGCGTAACTCCCAAACACATATTGCGCTCGGTACAAATTGGTAATTACCGTTTAATAATGCAAAAGTAAATTAAGCATTAACACAAAGATAATGAGTTAAACGCTTCATAATTTTCAAAAGGAAAGAAGTTTTGCACAAAGGTATCGTAAAATGCGATTCACGGAGAAGCAATAATGCGAAGAATAAAACAGGGGAATAAATTGAGTCAAAGTATAAGTAATGTAATAATTTATGCGCGCGAATGACAATAAATTCTGAATAAAGTGAAGAAATATATATGTACGCAATAAAAGAGAGCGATGAAATGAATAAAGTATAGTAATAGAGTAAAGGAGAGGCAAATATAACCGCGTTAGAGTTACTCCCGGTTCATCTCGAAGCTCACGAAAAACAAAACGTAAAAGAAGCAACGTAGATTTATAGTTGATAGTGAGTATACGCATAGAACGAGGTGTCGCGAGTCTTTTGTGCGGAGAGATCGGCGGAAAAGAAATGAAAAGAAAAAAAAACAGTATCTACCGCCTTGATCCCTTATCTATGTACTCCCTAAGGCCGCCAAACGAAGATATTAGGGTACTGACTGGATGTTACTAGTGTGAACTCCTAGCTGTTTTGCCTGTATTGCAGATCTCATCTACAGTCATGACAATCATCCTAAGAAGTAGTAGTAGATAGTAGGTGGTATATTAGTAGGTCCTAGCAGGTAACATTGCAGAGCTGTAGTCTCGCATAGTAGTAGGTAGTAGTAGCAGTAGTGGTAGTAGAGTAGCGGTAGTACTAGTAGTAACGGGCATGTCCCACCGGCAATTGGCGTTCGCTCGCTCGATCGACCGAGGTGGATCGACGACGATTGATGGAGAATTGTGAAATCGATCTGACAGATTCGTTCGATCGATCGACGGACCGCTCGGTACAACGTGTTTATACACACACAAACACATATACGTATACCGTCGGCGGGAGCTTATTTTCGTGGTTTTCGGGAGCAACCGTGGTCTCGGGTACGTAGTGATGGTAGTAATAGCGGTAGTAGCGGTAATAGTAGCGGTAATAGGTAGTGGTAGTAGTAGTAGTAGCAGTAGTAGTAGTAGTAATAGTAGTAGTAGTGGTAGTACTTGGTTTCTTTCTGTGTGGCTAGCGGAGGTTAGGCTTACTGTTCCGCCTCTCTATGATAAACACGCTCTCGTAATCTCGATTATCGAGGTGGAGTGCGTGATGGTCACGATCACGATTCGGGGGGGCCTGCTCGTGGACCGGCTCCGAGGTGGCAGTGACGGGGGTGGTTACTTGCGTAGGAAGTGGTGATTGATGAAGAGGTTGTGGTGGTGGTGGTGGTAGTTGCGGATTCAACGGGCTGCAACGGGTCAGCGTCGAGACTGACTCGCCGCACGCGTTTAGATTTGTCGACCTACAGAAAACACAGAGAGAGAGGAGGACAAGAGACGCCCACGATTTTTCTTATCGTCTTTGTTTTTCTTTTTTATTCTTTTTGTCGCAATAACTGCCTTGGCTTTGTCCCGTCAGCGTCTCCGCGGTTACCGTTTCGCGCGAGAATTATTTCAGGGTCGGAGACACAAAATGAAAGGAGCAAAGAGAGATAGAGAGAAAGGTAGCGGGGAAAATTTCTTCTTTGACGATGCGACGATCGATTGACTCTACTATCCGTTGTACCTTTTTCTTTCAATTCTTTTCTCTCCTGTCTTTTGATCGACAACGTTCGCGAAGTGACATCCCGCGCCCTTCCTCTCCAGAGTCTCTCGACCCTTGATGCTATTCTCTAGCTTCCGTCGGCTCTCTTCTGATCCTTGCTCTGATCGCGATCTCGGTGTTTACCACCGAAATTATTTCAAGTCCGTATTCGTGGTCGATATTTCGAACTGGGCAATAAGCTCCGCCGAGATAAGCACGCGAGTGCAATCATCGCGAGGAAAAACAACGCAGAACCGGCACATGGAACAAAATTACGTTACTCGTAATCCTTAACTTACTCTAACTTCGTTAAGTTTTTCATGGTTAAATGAAACCCTCATTATACCGAAGAAGTTAGTGTAATGTCTCGTGTCCGACGCTGTCGAAGCATTAGGAAATTGCAATCGTTGCTTCTACTCGGCGCACAGTCTGGACCACGAATGCGGGCCTTGCAAAGAAAAAAAAAAATTCTTGGCAGTGGCTGAACCGTCCAGCCCGTTCTGGATATATACGTGTAGGTATAAAAGTGCAATATCGATCTCTCTCGGGATGTCTTGCGAAACGCGTCCGCGCGTTTAGCGAAGAAAAAAAAATTCAAACATTGTTTCAGCTTATCATGAGGGTGATGATGACGGAGGATGATGATTGCGACGTGAAATGTTGATACTTCGAAGGATTGTTTGTTGGAGATGATAGAACTGTTACACGCAAGGCAATATTAAAAAAGATTACTGACAGTATAATGTTTCCATAGACACATTTAAATGTATATTTATAATAAAACAAAATGGGCTAATAAGTGTGTAATTGCTGATCGCAATAAAAAAAGAAAAGAAAAAAAAGACAACGATTAATACCCGTCACATATCAAGTACAAAAGCGCATGCTCGATCGCAAATTAGACGATATGGTATATGGTAGTAGTTGAGAACAGAACGCCATAATTTTTATTGCATAATTAATATTGGCTTATAATTACATATATGTGCGGTTCATTTTGGAATGGCTTCGCAATCAGCTTCAAACCTACGAGAAAATCTGAATTAGATATTAGATACGATTAAACTCGGCTTCCATAGAATTCGTAGCTTATAAAGTCCGCGATTTTCTTCATTAAAGTATGAGTGTGATACGTTGCCTGTGCGTGTAAGGATGATTTACGGAGTAAAAAAGGATTGGATTATTTCCGACGGAACTTTTGCTAGCACCCTCACGATAAGCGCCACGATATAGGTACACATAGGAAGTAGTGTAATTCGGTACACACACACATACAACAATTACAGTAATACTCGAGAGAAACTGAACGGTGCGGCTGATAAAATGATGACGATGAAAATGACTGGATTGCGAATGAATCGTTCTAAAAAGTCGACGCGGATTCTCAGGATCAGCCAAAAGGCAAAAACGAGAGACGCGTGTAAGTAAAGAGGTAAGTAACAAGATATACCAAAAAATTCCGGGAAATTAAAGGTCTTACGATCCAGAAGAGGCATCACTGCAGTCGTATTGTGGACTTTTGGATGCCGCGACGAAAATCATAATGGTCACAACTGAGTAGTTTATCCGCTACTACACGTGCAGTCCGTTTTGGCGTGAAATCGCAAAAACCAGCCGAAACACGCTACGACATGTGGCTCGTTTTTTTTTTCTTTTCGTACGTCGAAAAAGTACGTTGTAAGCACGTATCTTGCCTTTCGTAAATTTTCTCTATGTGTAGATACGTATAATAAAATCGTACGATTCGCGATCATGGCGATCCGAATCGAGCCGCTCGTGTTTCACGTAGAATCAAAATACGCGATTTTTCGATTGTATTAAAAAAATCCGAGATACATCTCCTCCATTCAAAAAAAAAAAGTTAATAAAATATTTTTATACATATTAAGTATTTTTATTGATTACTTTTTTATTGATTACTTTTATTGATTACTTTTTATTGATTACTTTTAAATTGAAACTGTAGTAGAAATCGCTGTTCGATCCGGTTCGTATAATTGTGGGAAATAGTTATCGTTATCGTGCACACGCGCGACATTTTCTCTCGTTATTCTTCGTATCGTACATCTCCTGCATCGCTCGAAAAAACAAATTTCGATGCAGAAAACGAATTGATTGTCACACGCGCAAACGAATCGTCGCGCGTCAGCTGATTCAAACCACAACGAGATCCGACTCGATCCGAATCGCACGGAACGAGCTCGATTCTTTCATTCATGCCTAACGGAAACGTGCACGCATGCACGCACGCGCACGCTTGGTGTTACGCGTGGGAGTGTGCGTAAATTACTTATCGATTATCGAAAGATCATTTCTCCAACCTCGTCCAAAATACCTCTGCTGCTGCGGTTTAGTCTGCCGGTTTAATTTGCTACGAGATATACATCTAGAAGCTCATAGTGTTATGTATGGCGCAAGTAGATCAAAAGAGGTCTGTCGTTTCTCGTTTCCTTAATCCCCCTATTTCAGACGATAGTACTTGTCCTTTGTCAAGGCGGATCGAGTTGACGGCAGGAGAGAGAATGAATTTCTCTCCGTACGTCTGTCTTTCCGTAAGTTTCACGGTCATACATCTTTGTAAATGTGTCGTTGATATACGGCAAACAACGGCACATTATTGTTATTTCCAATTGGTTCGTAAAATAATCAAATAATTATCATTAATTTTAGAAATAATCGAATTGACGATTTCGAAAAAAAAGTTATCATTAAAATTAGCTGCAAAGTAGTAGTTGACATAAGAGCGATATGAAGTAAATATAAATTTCGATATATCCGGGACATAATTATAAATATATAAATGTATATATGCATAATATCGCGTAAATGTTCGAGTATATCTGTTGGCTAGAAGAGATTTTACTCGTGAGAGGTTTCATAAATGCTTGCTGTGCTTCGGTCGCCTATTGCTCGTAAGAGGGGTGGAGTGGACTTAATCGCTAGCTCTGTCTAAGCCTAAGTGATATATGTTTCTTTGAAATCGCATCTGCACTTTGTGTGACGCATTCGTCGACCTTTGACATCTGAACGATCTATTGTATCTTAATCAGAGGCGATGACTGTCGATGCTTTATTAAGGCGCGACACTATGAGATCGTTCTTCAATCGCGTACATTATTTGTCTACCGAAATATTGTCTTTCGGAAAATTACTGCTTATCGAATTTTACGTGGACAATTTTGTCATAACAATCTAACTTGTTAAAAAATATTATTATAGCTGAAAATGCTTACGTAATCTTTTTGAATATTTTATTTTGAATTTTATATATTTTTGCAAATTTTATGCAATTAGAGGAAGAAATTTAGTGCAGCTGCGATCTCCTCAGTCTACTTGTCTTTTGATCGGAGCTTTTAGAGCTCCAAAGTATCGTGAGTCAAGATTCTGTGGAATTTAAGAAGATAATGATGTTTAAAGTGGTAGACACTCACTTTTTCAAAGGCACTGTTCCCTGGGGCCCCTGCCCTGCGCCGTTCCTGACATCGGTGACCCGGCAGGCCACCATATTATACGCTGAAAGCAGTTCTACAATGTTACATAATTATGTTAAATACGAATGTGTTCAGTTTCACAGGTGCATGCCCGACGCCTGCGTTACCAGATCGTAGCCGTCTCGTTGATCAATTCTGGGCATTAAATTCAAACGATACGTTCGCAATTATAATATGAGCATTTTCGGTAAGACTTAAAGAATAAGCGGACCCAGAACGGATCAAAAATCTAAGAAATAATTTATGATTCGCACAAAATGACTTACGTGTTTGCGAAAATTCCGCTCCGTTCCGGGAGCATGTAGCGTGCGAGTTTCAATTTTTCTGCAGTTGAATAAGTTAATACAGTAAAATTATAAACGCAAAACATTTTAATTATATTTCTGTCGTTAATTCTATTAGACTTTGCGTTGTCTCTCGTGCGTTATTAATCGATGCAGAGACGATACAACCAGGAGCACAGGTGCAGGCAAATTGCGGGCAAAATGGTGTCGATACGACGATAACGCCACGGGACGTTCATACCTTTCTCCTGTTTTCGTCTCTTCCGTTTATTGCATATCTTGACCGCGCATATGCTGAGGATGATGGCGACGAGGAAGAAGAGGATACCGCCTACGACGCCCGCGGTGATCGCTTTGTGCTTGACGCGAGCCGGCACGGGAAACTTCACCTGTTCGCTCGCGCCGTAATTCGTAGCCGAATTGGCGAACACTTGGAAATAGTAGGTCCTACCACCGACCAGGTTCTTCACTGTGGACGTTTATGTTAAACGGGAAAATCACATGAAAGTCGTATTTTCAAAAATTGACGATTGAAATGTTGGTCTATGAATATTCGGAATTACTCGTATTCGTGATGTTGATGCCTGTCCGATGCTATTATAGTAAAAAACTTTATGCAAAATAATTGCTCTGCGATCAATGAGGGAAAAAGAGAAAGAAAGAGATAGATGGACGTAGTATCTCACCTAAATAACTGGTCTCCTCGGGTCGTATTTGGCCCTTGTTGAGCGTTTTCCAAGGTCCGTCCGTCTTGTACTTGATAGTGTAATATTGGATAAGATGGCTACGTTCCATAGGAGGTTGCCAGGTTATCAGGAAACCGTTGCTGATTTCCGTCACCGTGAGGTTCCGGGGAGTACCTGGCTTTGGTCCTGGCGATATCGATCGGGAACAATATAACATCGTACACGTTAAACTTATTTTCGTTTTTCGCTCGTAATATGACTTTATGATTTTACATCATTTAATATATATTTTATACTGTATCACGATTGACATAATTTCCAACAATGAAACGGATAAAGAATTAAAAAATTTAATCTCTGCCATATACGCAAAATAAAAGATCGACGTGGAGGAAAAATCTCTTTGGCGTCAATAAATAAACGTTGCTGTCGTAACTCCGAAATAATTCCAGTGACGCACCGGGTTGCAACGCCAGCGAAAAGCTTTTTTGATGGAAACGTTAACGCCGTTCCGACCGCAGCGACATTTTCGCATCTATCAAATCCATCGGTATTCGCACTATCGAGTTGTACGTCTGACTTTTTTCATCGTCGCGTATCTGGGTTAGCTGCGATACATCGCTTAAAAAAAAATTCTTTGTATTGACTGATACTTGCAAATACGCTGATATAAACACGATGAATCATAATTATGTTTATTTTGAGGTAGCAATTATATTAAATATTTCTCACTTTTTGTATGCATCTTCGTAGTATGATGACGGATGTCCTGATAAATTAAAATCGATAGGTTGCTTCGAGATTTCTTGAAATGGATAAGCCAACGTTGCATTTATATTAGTAAAATATGTCTGTATAATATTTTATTCGTAATATACATAAAAAAATAAGAGTGAATTTAATAAAATAGTACTGTATACATATCCGGTGTTCTTTAAATTGAATACGAAGCCAGTAGGCTGGAATGAAACGACTATTGGTGCAACTTCTTAATTGGATTAGCCAGACATGAGGTCAGCTTCTTTCATCACTTCTTACGCATATAATGTTACGACCTAATTGCTTCCGGCGTACGCGCGTTAACCTTATTAATGTCTACAAGCACGGCACTATTTCTTCTAGGTAGTATAACGTGACTTTGCGTTGTAGATTAAAATAGCTTATTCGTAAAAAAATGTGGAAATATGAGCAAGGAAACGACTGGCGTAGCGCGAAATAATTCGCATGGAGAGGTACGAATATTTTATTTAACTCTCGCCGTTTTTTTTTTTTTTCTGATGCACCATTATATTCTGATTCATCCAATCATGGGTTTATTCCGACAAAGCAAATATCCCACTCTATTTTCTCGTTTCCCCTTATCGATTTAATGGCCGCAGTTCTGGAAAATATCTCGGTGGAATTTACAAAATTGACGGAGATTGCCTCGGTGTTGTTGTGAATCGCGGTCGGAAAGCGTAAAAACTGTTTCAGGATTGTTTGCTTTGTTGATTACGCAAACCGCACAGGCCGGTAAATTTTCTTGGTTACAATCAGACGGAATAGCTGCGTATCGAGAGTGGTTTTACGTTCGTTTAAAACACTAGGCGAGTTCATCAAAGTCCGTGCGTCCGCGTATTTATCCTACATCGGCGATTTGAACGAAGCAATTCTTAGCGTCATTCAAATTGATCAACATACCGTAAAACTGACAAGATTGAACCATGCTTTCGAGATCAAAGGAAAGCGCTCGAAATTCTTGTGGGACATTGTGTATATAGAGTATAGTGAATCGATTTGCGAACGCAGTGACGAAAAAGACAAAGTCGAGACAAAGTTATTTTCGTCGAAAAATCCCTCGTTATTATATTGAATAGATATTGTGAAGTAAACGCACCATCGCAGAGCGTTTAGAAAGTTAAATAGATTTTTTCCTAATGGTTTTTCGCCACGTCACCGCATAGACAATATGAGAAATTGGATATAGCCGGAAAATATAGGCAGCTTGTTGGTTTGGCCACGAGATTGCAAAATTAGCGGCTCTTGTATTGTTTTTATTCCCTTTTCCCCTATTCTTCCACAAACTGTCCAATACGAGCGTTTTTCCTCGCTTCTATCGAGCTATAACGAAGTTTTTATATTTTATTATTTTTGTGTAAAAATAACATGCGCGCTATTCCTGCGGAGGAATGCGCGTGTACATTTTCAGGGATTTTATTTATAAAAACTTTGTTAAAAATATTTCAATACATAGACAAACGCTATGTAATATTAAATAAAGCGATGTTAAAATTCTATTATAAAAAATACGAATTACAATATAAAGTTTTAATATCACGTCGATATAATTATTTATATATAAAAAAAATACAACTGTTTTAAATAAAAATTTTATTTTTTTCTATCTGATTTATGTCACTATACCTCATCTTTCTCAAGAATTCAAATATGATTGAAACTCGACGCGCAGGAGAGAAGTACAACTAGAACTTTCTTGGGTTTATTCAACTCTAAAGCGGAGTAGATTGTTTGGAACCGTCTGCTACGTGCAAAATGTATGATGTTATTTCCTGCTCTTCCTTCTGGAATACCTCTCTTCGTCATAGCTCTCTCCGGTGTGGCGCAGCTAAGAGGATTTCATTTTTATTTTCCTCTGTATCTTTCTCGCATCGTTGTACGCCGAACTGGGTATACGCGAGCGTGGGTGCGCGAGAACATACGCGTTTCTTTTTCATTGCCCTCTTTCTCATTCGTACCGTTTGACACTTTTTTTCACGTCCACCATAGTAGATAATGACGGTTAATCTTTTCGCGCGAGAGGCGAAAGAGCTTCCGTCTTAAAAAGGTGGATTTTTGAGCTCTCGCCATCTCTTTGCAGAGCGGAGGATGTTTAATTAAAGGCGCGACGAGAGAGGCGATCGCGTGTGTCGTCATACGCGCATGCCGAGTGTAAATAATCCGTCGAACGCGTGGGTGGTGAAAGTAAGGATGAACACTTTCGAGTATCTCAACCGAAGAATATGATAGTTGTTTCGTAACATTACTATCAATGTGTAAGAGAATATTAAGAAATCGTTTTTATTTTACCTACGAATTTTTTTTTTTTTTTTTTTATAACATTTTATGAAAAAATAAAAATATCTACCTTTCGGTCGAATGATTACCGGAAGTATGGGATTTCCTGTGGAATCAGTCGGTAATACGAGTGTATTATAATCAAGGATGTCTGAAATGAAAAAAAAACTTAAAGATTAAACGAAACTCAATAAGAAATAAAATTAATTCACTTAGGAACAATAAGCTGTGGCTCTTATTACGAAGATTCTAAATGGAATATAGGTCAACTTATTGTTAAATACTCTACTAATCATGATAAGGTCATCAATGTTAATTAGTTCTAATTATAGCCAAAATATCTTTCTAAATTGTAGCATGGAATGTACCACAAAGTTTTCCAAAATTATCTTGTATGTTATATGTAACGTAATTCTTCAACTATGTTCTGTGAATTAAGAGTTTAATTTTTTTTTTCACAAATATATTCAAACAATGAATTTTGACGAATTGAGCTGCATTCTTATTCTATTCACATTTTATTCTTTAATTAATTTTGGACTCGACTTATACAAAATTTTAACTCTACAATTAAAGATAGAAAAAATTGTAACAATTTACGATTAGTAAATATTCGTTAGAGAAAATTGATTCTAGAAAGATACTTCAGAGAGGATTCCACTACAAAAACGTTTTGACACGTTCTGTATAGAAAATAGTAGAAATATAGAAAGAAGAAATTTAGTTAACCGTGGTTAATCAGCGTTGGTGAAGCCGGTCCTTTGTCGACGCTTTCAAGACTAAGAAGCGAAACAGATGCGGGCTTGTGCGTGGGTGGAAGCATAAGAAGCGAAGAAGCGCTACAGCGAGAAAAAGGTATAACGCGAGAAGAAAGCGAGATAGGCGAAAGAAACGCTTGAAGGGTAACCAGATAGAAATCCCTAGACGCCGGTATCAGGGATGCTCGAGGTACGGTGTGTACAAATGGAAGGCAATGAACCGGTGGATTCGAGGGAAGGAAATAAAAGCGGAAGCAGAATGAACGGCTCGATGGGTTTTCCGATACGATAAGTCGCCGCGGAAGTCTCTTCGTTCCTTCTTCGTCTCTTTTTCTCGGTTTTCTCCGCTCACCTTGCTTCATTCCGCATTCGTATTCGTCCCCTTCTTTTCTTCCCTTATCTTATCTTTTTGCCTCCTTCTCACCTTTTTTCCTTCGTGCTTGTTCCTTTCTTCCTCCTCTTTTTTTTTATCCCTACGGTTCTACTCGAGAAAAAAGTCGCGCGATTTTTCGACTCTCGGATCTATATCCCCGATGAGAGGATCGCGGGGTGAGACGGGAACGACATCCACACGCATGAATTTCCTCTCGACAGTCATCAAGATGCCATTCTCAGCTTGCGAAGTCGCGCGACTCGCAAGATATTCGGAGATATCTACTACAGCAGTTGATCGCGTTTCGCTAGCTTGCAGATTTAAAACAGCAGGGGAAATCGTCGATTTTAACACCTCAAACAGACTGCAACGTGCTGCTTCCGACATTTTACGCAATCAAATTTACGGTTTATATATGTAACGCGTCACGTTTTAAAACATTTTCTCTCGCGAATTTTGGTATTTTAGCATTTAATAATTTATCTTGTTCTCTAATGTTACATATTTAGAACATAAACAGTACTAATTTATCATTCGAATCTTACCACTTTCCGGTGAGACGGGTTGATCAGGCGTGGAGGGGGTGGCCGAGTGGGTCAGAGCAACGCCTTGGAAAAGAATGCAGCGAAAGACGTGAACAGTGAGAAAGAAATTTGTACGGATGCAAAGATTAGTTTGTTAATAATTAAATAAGTCAATGGCGCTATTTGTCAGATTAGTCAGATTAGTAAAATAAGATTCATAAGAAATAGTTTTAATTATACGGCTATATGATTAATAGTTACTCAATTACATATGAAATAAATCTATGCTGTTTATCACTAGATTATCGAACTTTGCTCGTTTAGACCTGTATCTTTGACTTATAAAAAAATGTATCAAGAACTTTAGTAGAGTCGAAGTAACTCAGATAGCGTAATGCGATTTCCATTACCGAGCGTCCTGATTGTGATGACTTTGCTCAGCATTCCCTCGCCCAGAGCGTTCTTCCCGATTACCTGGAACTCGTAGAGCGTGCTTGGCGTGAGAGTGTTGATCGTCACCGACGTGCTGCCCGATGGAGTCACGGGGATTGTCTTCCATTCCGAAGTTCCTGATTCTCTATACCTGAGCGGATAACACAAGAAAAAAAAATATGATATCTGAATTGATTTAAAAATTTTAAATTCTTGGCATAAATAATTATATTAGTCTATTCATAAATCAAAATATAATATTGATAGAATTATATGTATTATAATGTGTGTATACATCATATAGGTAAAATTATTTTTACAATATAAATATCTCTATTATTCGAGTAAAGCGATTATTGCGTCGACAGGAAGAGCTTTAAGTTGCAATATCTATCAGCCTATCCCTATCTACGTATACCTACCAGATTGTATAATCTTGCTTGTAATCAGGACCACCGGAATAGCCTGGTAACCAAGTTAGCGTTACCGAAAATTGCGTGGCAGTGCCTGACACGTTGTAAGGTGCATGGGGTTGCGTGCCTTCGACTATCAGCTGTGTCGAGGATGAGATAGTGGCGACTTCGTTGGAGGCGATGCACTGATAAAATCCAAAGTCCGCGCGTCGAAGGCTCTCTATAGTTAGATTGCCACCGACGGTTTTCGCGCGGCTGCGTTGGATGGGTCCGCCGTCCCTCTAACATAATTTTAGAGACGCTTAAAAAAACGCGACGAGGCAGCTCGTCAACGTGCAAATTTATTACTCAAACAGTACAAAAGTCCAAAAGATGTTTGAAAAATTATATTATTGTTTCAATGTTTTTCGGCTTTTTGTGCGTTTTTTGAAGAATAGATATATATTATGAAAAAAATATATTAGTATAGATAATAAATGTTGTTATGCTTTGCAAATAACAATGTCGATCATTTTCTACTCTCTGTTGCAGAAATAATATATAATATATATTTTTTAAAAATTTATACCCGATGCCATTGTATTGTTGGTTTCTGCGTTCCCTCGGCCTCTTGAGCGTCACAGTGCATCTCGACTGTCTCGCCGACCTTTTTCGTGTATACTGATTCCGGCTCAAGGGTGAAGACAGGCGGGTTCCGCACGAGGACCTCCATCGGACCCGAACTGCCCTGCGTGCCCTGGGCGTTGTAAGGCGTGCAGGTATATCTACCTTGGTGATTCTCATTGACCCGTGTAAAGAGCAGGGAGCCGTTGTTCATGATAACGATGTCCTTCGTTTGATAAGGCTCAAGTAGGCGCTTGTCCTTGGTCCAGGTCACGTATTGCAGGGGCGGGTTGGCTTTTATGTAACACTGGACCACACCGGCCAGACGGAACGGCAGGTATTGAACAGTGGGGGTGAATGTCACCTTTGCTGGGTCTAAAAATCCATTTAAAAATTACTTCCAAATATCGATCGCGTTGAGTTTATCACTTGGATTCTTTTAACATATACTTCTCAATTTTTTATATTTTGGAATTTTAATTTTTCGCCCGATTTTCTAATTATAATTTTTCAAATAAGTCTTACACTCGACGTTCAAGTAGGCGCTAGCAGTTTGAGGATCGCCGATGCCGTTGGTGACCTCGCATAAATATTGACCGGAATCATCGGCACTGACGGGATTGATAACCAGACTGCCGTCTATCTTGATGGACACTCGGGTGTCCAGAGCCGAGACTTCTGTGACGGGGGCGCCTTCGCGAAACCAGCGTACCGTTACGTTACCCGGGAGAGCCTTTGCTTCGCAGGAGAACTGCACTTTCTCGCCTTCTAGTTTCGTTTGATTTGTCGGCGGCAACGTAATAACAGCTCCACCTGCGGTAATCAATAACACAATACAATTTTTATTACGTAATTTTATCATAGATTGAGAAAAGATACGAGATATCGGTCATGTGGTCACCAGATCTAACACGACCGATACTCGTGTAGTAGTTTGTCTATTGCATCCAGAATTTGCGGTGACGATTGACTGCTGATATTGGTTGTCTCGCTGTCAAAGATATCCCGAAAGAGACGACAGCATGTGGTGCATGCTAACCCGTCGTCATATAGAGAGACAGGGAGAGAGAGAGAGAGAGAGAAATTGAATGCTATAGCCTCGTCTCCATCGATTCTCGATAACGTCTCTTTTGCTTGTCAGTAAAAAGCCACGACGGATAGACGAAAGTATGCCGTCTGAGTACGAGTATCCTCGAATTTGCCTTTCGCCACGATTTCTACGCCTTCGACAAAGGTGTTCAACAGGGTGCATTATATCTTCATCGATATCCCACGTCGTCCACGCCCATAGCCGTCTCTCGCGTATTCACATTGTGAAGAATTTCAAAACTTGCGGCTTTGCCCGTCGCCTCAGAAACGAATATCTCGCCGTATTATAGCGGAAGATCGATTCTCACCGCACAAAAGACCCAACCCCCGCTTCGCGCGATTTCGCGGCATTTTTACAATCCGATCTAGCGTCATTCGTCGGGATTACGATCGCCTTCATCTCTGCCTGTGCTACAGTCGAGCTTAGATTGTGAATGAGATCGAGCGGAATATACGCGGAATTGTCAAGGAATTAGTGACACTGGAAATCACGATGAAAGATATTGATTGAACTGCGAAAAGTGCTTTGACGATAGATGCTAAAATTGCCACAGAGTGACACGTATCCTTATTTTTATAGCATCACATAAAAGATTCATATTTATTGACTATTGTATTTTTAAAAACATTTATTTGCGACCTCATATTTTAAATTCTGTAATTACGAATTTTAACAAACGCATAGTTTTCTTTCATCTTTAATAAATCATAGTTCATTTATGATCCATATTGCATCTCTGCCTTTGAGTTTTAATTTCATTTCATACGCGATATTCAAAATCCGTGCAAAATATAATCGAATTTGAGATTGTTAGTTGGCAAAGTAAACAGGGGATATAGATATCGCACAAACAATCTGTAAATTTATACGTGAAAACGAACGCTGCGGATGTCATGATGCAAATGTATTGACAAACGTTTGAGCAATTAAACATTTGGCAGATTGTTGCGGTGTTTGTTGTCCTTGCATATCGACGTAATCAAATTCGAGGTTGCGGAATAGCTTTCTGCTGGTGCACTCGGTTACGAATGCCTGACGGAAAGTTTTCGATCTCGCTTTGCGGAAGCGACCCGCGCCGGCCAAGAAAGGGCGGCAAGAGAGAGGTGGGCTTCGAGCCGCGTAAGAAATATCGCAGTTTCGTTCCGCAGACGGAAAATCCCGAGAAACGAGGGCAACGATATTCTAAGCTCTGCCCGATGTCTCAATATATTGCACATCCCAGTCGCACCTACCGAAGATGCGCCACAATACGCGCCGGCGGTGCATGCTGCAGCAGCCAGCGCGACAGGAATAAATTTGAATCTACGAGCTTGATAAACGTACGAAGCGCGGAATGAGAACTTGTTGCCCGGAGAAAAGAAAAAAGAAAGAAGAACGTATTTCCTCGCGTAATCTTGCACGCTCGCTGCATCTAAATCCGAGCACGCGCGCACAAGGATTTACTCAATCAAACCATCCATCATGTCGATCCATCACGTCAATCTTTTTATTACCCTACGCTTCATTCGAACTTATCCCGGGTATATCTTAAGAATCCCTCGTCCTTTTATTATTCGTATTTACGAAGCTTTGTCTGATTCTCGCGCGGTTCTCGCGACGCGCGATCAAGGAGATACATTTTAATTATTCGCGCCCCGACGATGATATACATTTTACGTCGCGAGCGCGAAAGCTCGGGAGGATACTTTACGAAAGGGGAAGTTCGCAAAGTTTTTCGCGGCGAATAAGGCCAATGGAATTCCGAGTCGCCTGTAGAATCATGCGCCGAGCGTGCGGTCGCCATAAAGTTACCCCGCGCGGTGCACATTACGCGCCATCGTTAACGACGTTGTTTTTACCAACTTGGAGCAGCAATTTCCTCCACCGATGTGTACGGTCGATATTTACGCGAAGGCTTTTCGAGGAGCAATGGCTCCTTGTTTTACCGCAAGCCGCGTTTTCATTCGCGGAAATATTCAAGAGCTTCGTGGAAGATCGTGGGATACCGAAAACACTTTTATAAAGTGATTATTAAGCTACCACCGTCTGCTACATCATCGACCGTGTTGCATTTATGCGCCGCATTCTCGATGCGAAGAGTGTCACGGTGACAAATTTCAGCGTTTGCCAACCAGACGAAAATCTTGATAAACCGGGGCAATGAAATTCAGAGAAAGAGAGGGATAGGGAGAGAGAGGGAGAACGGCGCATGGGCTCTTATGCCAAGTACATAGCTATGACGTGATGCTGCGTCGCGCTGCATCACGTTGTACATTGTGAATACGTGGTGCTACGAGCACCGTCAAGTGTAGTTCAACAAATAGAGCAGCACAGTCGAGATGCAGAATAAATTCTAGAATGATTTATTCCTATAATGTTTACTTTCCAGTGATTTTTCATCTCCTTTAAATGCTCTACTTTGTTTAACGTTGAAACAGCACATTACATTGTGCAATGTAAAATAAGTGTATCTCTCTGCATTTTAAAATGCAAGAGATAAATGCACGTGATTCTTTTTTAAATAAATTTCTTTTCAGATTATGCACATACGCACCTAGAAATTTGGTATAATTATTATTCCTACTTATGCATGTAATTTTCCACTTTATTTCCTATTTTAATAAAGATACGAAAAAACGAAAAATAAGATAATAATGAAAAATGTAAAATTTCAACACACAGGGTGTTCTCTGATCGCTTATCTTTTTACGGTAATAACAATAATAATCCCCGTTAACGCTCATCTAATTTTATTCCTCGCGTGCGAGCGAATTTTACGACCTCGCCGTCGTTTCAGGCAGGCGACATTCGCGCCATTTCTCAATCCATTAAATAACCATCTCGCGGCCAAGACCGTAAACGGGCGTGAAAACAAGAGACGAGACGGTAAGACAATACGATGATGAAGACGGATGTCCCGGCGGCGGTTTGCCATTGGCGGGGGTTACAAATTTGCAGTGGTTGTGGGACAGAAACAGGCGACGATGTTGGAAAAAAAAAGAGAGAGGATGGGGTGGAAAGCGCAAAAGCAAAATAGAACAAGAAGATGATTCGGGGAGGGAAAGTGGCTGTTGGCTCCGGAAAAACAAGACAAATCGCCTTTTAACCTCTCCCTCCTCCTCTCCCTTCCCGTCGCCCGGAATCCTGGGAAACGGAAATAGCCTTAATTGGTCGGCGGAACGAGCGACGGCCGGAACCCCGCTGTAACCACTTTGCCTAACGCGAGTTTTATCGCGGCGAGGGTATCGATATGAGTAAATGTATCGGCTCGTAAAATTTACGGAGGCGGAGGGAGATGCAACTATACGTCCTACGATGTCTCGTGTTGTCCCTACACCCGAGCTTTATGGATGCATCGGCATGCTGCGCCTTCGAGCACGAGAAAACGTTTCCGTTCGAGGGAAATGGACGCTAAAACGGTTTATACGATGCGGACGAGATTGCGACATCCCTTATCTTTTCCCGAGCTCGCTCGCAAAGCGATGAGTTAGAACGGTACACACCTGTCGCTACCGCGACATCCATTTGGGAAATAAAGATTATCCAGAAAGTTACAAAAATCGAACGTTCCATTATATCTAGTTTCTCTATCGTACGAAGCAGAAATACTATGAAGAATGGTTATTTTTATATCTTTAGTTGTACAATGCAAAGTATCAAGTTATTTCTCTGGGGAAGATCTCATGGTTTCTGACACTATTATGGATATCACGGATGAATACTTAATAGTCGAGTATAGCGACATTATCGTGCATTATTTTCGAAGAAAACATAAATTACATTATGTCGCACGATTAAGAACGCGGCACGAGATGCTCGTGAAGGAACGGAAAAGACAAAAGGATTCGATTTAATTAAACCGGAGGTAATAAGATGTATACGTAAACCTTTAATTAGTTCGTCACGCACATTATTATCGAAAGCGAAGGCTTATTTCAGGTACTTGACTTTTGCGAACAATGAACAGTCGAGTCTCAAACATATTGTTTAGAGTAAATCGCGGGTTACATCGGTTATGATACAACGATATTTAAAAAAATTAAAGACGGCACTCTAAGCTTACAGCGGCAGTAATAATATTTCAACTCTCGACGGAATTCGTCCTCGAAGAGCTTTTTGCGAAATCGCTTGTAAAAGGATCGTTTTTTATTCCGTTTGAAATTCGCGTGTGTAATACGCCAAATCTATCGTGTGTATCGTAAGGGCGCAGTGGACCGGGGTCACCTGCCCGTGAAAATTCGTTTCCGATTGCACAGCGAGTAAAAGAGTGGGATAGAGGAATAGACAGAAGAAGAAAGAGAGAAGATGGTTTACTCGTACGCGATCGATAAATAACAAAACCGACGGAACTAACCCCGCGCGCCTGCTTTAAGATATTTTCTGGCATGCGGATTATTGGAATTGCATTACCGGTGTTCGGCCGATCGACGCTGATTACCGAGGGATATCTGTTTCTGATAACGGCGCGTTCGATAATTACCACGGCAGTTTGCTGTTTATTAATTATCGGTCTGGCAGGCAACCGTATTTTGCGTTATTCTCTTCGGGTGCCGATCACGGATAATTAATCGCGTTGGCATGTCGGGGCAATTTTCGGAAGTGTATTAAAGCACGTTTACTATCGCGCGATTCATATTAAATTAGTTTCGGAAAGGGTCTGGACGCAGTCTCCCGTTGCCGGCAAACTAATCAATCGACTTCATATTTATGTTCGGCGAAAAAAGGCAAAAAAGTTTTGCCCTCTTATTACCTTCGGTACAAAGTATCTTCTTCTTTAATTAGTTTACTAGCATTATACTCAAGGCGCTCTCGAGTTCTGCGCTTTTCTCCTTCGTCGGGTAAAGGTGGAACTTTTATGAAATATTCCTTAATTATATTTTAATTATGTATCTAACTTAACTATGGAACAGAGGTATTTAATTATCAAGATAAAATAAGTATTAAGTATATATATATATATATCATCTATCTTTTTGAACCAATATATTTGCGTATCGATCAAATAGGCGGCTGTGATAGGCAGGTGATTGATTAAGATATTCATAGCGAGATCGATGCCAGGATCCGGACAGCTTAATCCTTCACCATCAACTCCGAGAACAGATAAATGCATCACGAACCGGATGATTGTTTAATTATTTCGATCATCGCGCAACACTGCGGTATCGTTTGTTCCTTCAACACGAAACTCCGAAACGAAAGTTGTGCTACGACGCTTTTTGTCGCAGCCACGTGGCACGCCGCGTACCAAGTGGATTTAAGCGGCCGCACTGCCGCAGTGCCGGTAACGCGTTCCTGTCAGACAGTAATACTTAACAGCGCATGCATGCTAACATTTTCTGCGAGGTATTACCGGGGCTGACGGAAAAAAAAGGGAGTCATTATTCGTGCCGTCGCGGCGAAATCGTAGAATGGATGCCACTCCGTGACCCGCATTAATAAAATCACGCCGGGAATTTTAAGAGATTTCCGTGAATAAAAAAGTTTATACTTTTCAACTCTCTCTCTCTTTATATATACATATGTATGTACGATGCATATATGTATCTTTCTCTAGTAGAAATATTTTCAAGAAATTAAAGATAACGAAAAATTATATTATGAAAATACATCATAACTGCGCATTTGCTATTTTATTACATCACATGTTTAGAGCATCTTGAAAGCTTGATAATTCTTATAATCCTGCGATATTCTTCTCGTACTATGCTCCACTTTTCTATGTCTCTTTGCTCGTGAATATCTCTGAATGACAGTAAAATTTAAATTAAAAAAGTTTTATCTGGCGCGCGTTCTCTCTCTCTCTCTCTTTCTCTCTCGATAAGGCCCGATTGCTGTCGAATGTAATCGTATCTTCTTGCTCCGCTAAAGGTGAACGGATAATTTATCGCTCAACTTTGCGACGAAATTGCGGCCCCGACACCAGGATTTCCTTGACACTCCGATAAAAGCTGAAACTGCACTCACCCGCGATAATGACGCGCGCGGTGTGGCTGATCTGGCCCTCCCCATTCCTGGCGATGCAGGTGTAATCGCCAATGTCCTCGGTCTTGATCGTCGAGAGCCTGAGCTCGGTGCCGTCGTTGAATATCCCAACGTCTCGGCCATTGGGCTCGACGGGATTCGCGTCCTTGTACCAAAGGATCTCTGGCGTTGGAGTACCCTCAGCCTGGCAGTTGAGTATTATCGCATCGCCCAGATTCACGTATATCATATCTTCCGGCGTTACGCTGAATCTGGGTGGCGCTGCAAACAACAAAAGCGAATGATTAGATATGATTTAATATAATTGTATTTTTCGTTGCGTTATAATTATGATCTTATTTTTAAAGCGAGTATAACGGGCGCGGACTCATTATTTCGAATTGATCAAACTCGAATATTTATAAACGAAATCATCTCTTGCGTGACAGATTACTTTTGCAACTCGGCAACATCGTCTCTTCAAAGTTTTACGAGAAATGTAAGCCGTTTATTTTTTGCGAGAAAAGACGGAGGCGACGCGCTCTTGGCACTTTGACGACAGAGAATGGCCGCGAGTAAATTGACGTTAGAAGAACAATCAAGTCCGCGAAGAGGCGATGGACGTTTGGAAAATGTTCCTTCGAAAAGTTCCATCGTGTTTTTTATCGTCCATCTTCTTTCCATCCCGGAAAAATCACAATGGTTCTTTACCGTCCAGCGTTCGCGACCGAGCAAATGATGTAAAGAGTCGACAAGAGTTCTCTTGTCCTAGGATAGCACAGCGTCGTAAGATCGACAATTCAGAGCGACGGAATGAAGGGTAAAATAGCGATAGAGGAAAAAGGGAGGAAAAACGAACGATTGAATTTAATGCAAATTCTGCGTCGTAACAGTTGAGAAAACAGTCCTTCGAGCGATATTCCCTTCGAATCGCGCGTTTCTTTTCTGCGTAGGCAGGGAGACGGAGGCGGGGAGGAGACAGAGAGTTATTCCGTTGGAAAAATTTTAATCGACATTGGAGTATGCGCGCGCAAGAAATCCGATTATATTGCGGTAAGGAAAGCAGAAAGGGCGCAATTAAATATTTCTGCAGAAGCTTCGCGCGCAGCCAAGTTTCTTACGAATTGTTGCCATTGGAACAAAGCTCTTCCGTTTTTCGAGATATCATCCGCTGCGATGCACAGTTTGTTCACGTTCGTTGTTATTCGAAGACGAGGAATTTTAATTTCGAGAGCGACGCCGCGAGAGATACAACGCAAGTTATAGGTGTGAGACTTCTGGAAGGAGTAGAAGAGAAGAAAAAGAAAAGAAACGGAGTGACGCGAAAGGACGCGGCGGTTTATGATCCTAACGCGCGAGCAAGCGACCGAATGGAGCCGACTACAAAGTATAAAAGGACCTTAAACGCTTTCTGGTGCCCCGAGTATTTTTCTCTTTGACGCCGTTTGCGGGTATATCCACGGCATCGTCACTCTGTTGTTGTTGTTGTTGTTGTTGGTGAGTGCGACCGAGGGGCTCAATGGAGAACGACGGGGAAATTGGGAATAAGCTGAGCGGAGCGACAGAGAAAGGGGGGATGAGGCGTGACGAGGGAAAAAGAGGACAACGCAACATTTTCCCTAAGCCATCCAAATGTTTCTCTTCCCTCCGGTCCTCCGGTCGTCGTTTATAGCCGAGCAAAATGCGGCAATAAGTTTCTTTCCCCCGTTCTTCCATCACTTTCTTCTTTCTTTTTTTTTTCCCCCTCACCGTGTCTCATTTCCCCCGTCCGGTAACGCGATCTTTTTGCGATCCTCTTTCCCATTTTACTCGTCGTAAGCAGGGACGCATTTCTCGGGAGATTTCGCCGAAGCAATGAAGGGCACAACGACAGAATCCTTGAGAAAAGCATGCTTCGAACTGCGTGCTGAGCAAGCGAGAAACCTAACCTCGTCCCGCGCGAGATTCGCTAAGACGTTAGAGGATGAGAAACACGACGAGACATGGTTTGCAAGCACTGTTTGCTGAATGTACAATTCGCATAGAGACGCATCGAAGAATCGGCGGCGTCTTTTTGAAGCGCCTTTTATGATTCGCGTGCTTTCCTTTTCACGATAGGAAGTCACGTCGACGGAAAGCTCGAAGACGGTGGGGATGAAAAGAAACGCATGCGACGGGGAATATTTTCGTACACTATACTTGCCGATGTTTAACCAAGCGCGAAAGGAGAATATCCCGGAATTTCACGAGTCTCCAGCAATGCACGAACGCGTTTCTTTCCCCTCTACTGGCATATATTTCTCTGACGAGATCTCTATTCTCATTATGAAATGTGTTGGTACGCGCATACAAATATTCTTGAAAGAGTACAAATAAATATGAGAAATGTATTTTTAATGTTCGAGAAACACGATGGAAAAGTTTATTTAATAATAAATAAAAATGTAATTTGCAACGTTAACCTTAATAAAAATATGAGAATAAGAACACAATATATTACGAATTATATGAGTACAAATATACAAATTTCTAGAATTATTCAAACACGTCTGTAACTTACACGATTAACTTTCCCCGGTGTTATAAAATTACATTAGAGCTAAAATTGTAAAATCTTCTTAAATTCACAAAGTAATATTAACGGGACTATTCGAAGCAGAAATAACGTAATTTCATCTTATATAAGCCGGATAAAAGCTTGCACTAAGAGCGTTTAGCGCACAGCGGACGTAACTTTTATTACTAACCGACAACTTTACGCGAAGTAAAGTATTTTTTTTTTCTGTTGCGACACGTTCCACGACATATATCCTGAAAGTTACTTTGCGCATTTCGCCGCGATGCAAACTTAAAGGTAATGTTTAACAAGAAAGATTAGATGAAAATTCGCTTCATTAATTCTGTATCTTAAAGATATACTGTCGCAAGAATTGCAATTGTCTCCAATTTGACGGGAGTTGCGTGAAAACTTGAGATTACTTACCGTGGACGTCTAGATGAAACCAGGTACCGTTCTTGTGACTGTTGGGTGACCTGTTGAGGAAGACGACCTTGCACTTGTACCATCCTTGATCGCTCTCGCGGATGTTCGTCAGATTGAGGCTGGCCTGGCCGTACGGCGAATTTTCGCCCACCCTCGAGACACGACCTTCGTATCCTTCGCCACTGTGGGTTGGATACGACTCGTACCATATGTATATCGGTGTCTCCTGCCCCTTGCACCAACACCAACACTCAACATAAACGAGGGATCGTAATGAACGCATATAAGCCGGTGCGAGCATTTGTCCGACTTTATCTGGACGCGTGAATTTTTCACGATTTCAAATTCTAATAAAAAAATATTACATTTATCAGAATTAATAACTAGTATTACACGTCTGTTTGAAGATACTCGAGATTTATCTTTCCGGCAAGACATTCGATCAAAAAAGAAAAGATAGATTATACATGTATTAGAAAACTTTCATTCGTAGGGCTTCTAAAAGTTTTTCCCAACGATTTCATTATTTTTGCAAGGTGACCGAAATTAAGCTTTAATCTCGCTTAACGGGGCGAGTCCAGACGTGCTCCATTATTCAGAGATCTCTCTCTCTCTCTCTCTCTCTCTCTCTCTCTCTCTCTCTCCTTCTTTCTACACGCGCGATCAAACCTCGTTACTCACTCGCACCGGCCGTAAATCATGAGATGATAAATGATGAGACAAGGGATGCAGCGTGTCTGACGAGAGTAAAACGACCTACGGGCGTTATCCGCGCGTACGTCCGGGGATCGCTTGTTTTCCGAGCAAGGAACGCGCAAGGCATGACGAGAATAAGGAGGCGATCTACGACGTCTCCACGTATTAGCGCGTCTAAAAGTTTATTAATGAAAAAAGCAATGGTTCAATGTGGCCGTACGTGTGGATGACGTCGTAAGTTGGAAGAAACTCGCATGCACTTGATGCATACCGGATGCATGCGTTATGGCGTAAAAATATTCGTGCACTTTACTAGCGGAGTTGCGTGCTGCGGAGGAAAATGCGGAAGAATGACAGTACGTGATACACGAAGTGTCGAAGTTCAACTTTGAGAGTAAATATTTAGAATCATTAGTTTCACGCGATATTATATTAACAAGGTTCATATATTTGCAGTGCTTTTGAAGAATATCTAGGAAAAAGAGTGCAGAGATATGTGCAGGAAAAATTATTCATAGCTTTGCAAGTAAACGCACGCCATGTGCGACGAGGGATAGTGCGAAACCCGCGCGTGCTTTTGATCTTAAAAAAGGAAATTAAATATGCAACACGTTCATTAAAAAGATATAATGACGAATATATTCATTGAAAATTATAATATTTTGTATATGAATGTTATGTATGAATTACATTTGATTGTTCGTATTTAAATGTGTTAGTGACCATCGGCACTTCTGAGGATGAATATGTGCAAGATATATATATGTATAATAAGTTTCAAACATATTAAAGAGAGAGAAATTATGTAGACGAAATAAAGCGTAATTATTCTACTTAAAGATTTTGCAAAGAATTTTCCATGCATAAATAGATCTTAGTTAACAATATTAACAATAAATCCAGCAAAATGATATAAATTTCAATGGCATTAACGTCGGCTCAAGAGCGATTACTGGCTGTAAATATTAATTTAGATATTTTATTTGAGCCTTAATTAGAATTTAGGTTACGAAGGGACCGAGCATCATCGTTTATTTAGCAGCACGAGCTTAGTGATGCTCGCGCCTCATCATAAAGAAAATATACGAACGAAAATATGATGAGCGTACGGGGTTAGTGTCGTTTTATACACGTCTCATTACGCCACCATTGCGGAAAATTACGTCCTGTTAAGCCGGATGCTAAAACTGCCGGTAAGCACGTATATTTGAGCGAGCCCGAGCTAAAACGGCCCGTGTAAACGCTTGCATTAAAATCCGCTGCGTTATCGCTCGTATTAATGCATTTGCTTCAAGACATTTAATCCCTGCAACAACGCGCGGAAGATCCAGCGAGATAAATTCGCTGTTTATGTATGCGCGCCTGAAAACGGCATTCAACACGGATGGATAGCAACGTGAATTCAAATGGTTTTTGTGACTTGGTGGAAATATATTTCATATCTCGTTCTCATTACGCTTATCGTGCAGTGATCGATAACAAGAATGCGGCGATCATGACGCGACAAAATTCTTTATTAGATGATTATGATTCGGGAAAATTGCTACTCATCGACGAAGTCGTGGAAATAAAATTTCCAGAAGGAAACGACAGAACAATATTAATCACTGACAAAGTTCCAATAGAATGCAGCGCGAATCGATCGCGTTTCGCGATTGGCGTGTTGATTGAAAGGTTCTACGATAATGATTTGATCGTTGAACGGAAAGCGTGTGAACCCTCTCGCAATCGATTGAATCTCGAGAATCTCGAAAAGCTCCGCGTATAAATCCCGGCAGTTATGGTGGGTCGTTTCTCGATACAACGGAAAATCGCTTCGACGAATGTAGATCGCCGTGTTTGGCACGTGGGGGGCAACGTGGCGATATTTCGTGCACTTGGCAGACGGCGGTTGGAGTCGCCCAATCTCCCGAGAAAAAAACCCGGGAAAGAGAGACGGAAATAAGGAGAGACGAGGGCATAAACGTCGGGTATAACGTAGAAAATACCGCGAACGTGCGACGACGAATGTGTCTTACGTTGGACATTGGCTGCCCCAGTTGACGGTTTCTATTTCGAGCTGCTGGCCTACTTGCGACGGCGACGACCACCGACGACCCGACGACGACGACGTGCAACCCCCGTGATTTCAATATTATTCTCCCCGGGTGGCAGCACGTAAGAGCGGGCACGTTCGATATTGCGAAGCCGAGAGTTATTGTGCGTCTACCGTACCGGCTGGTGGCGGAATATCGATTTAGATAGATTTACGCCGCTCCGTGCTAAAAATATTCAGAAAAGATCATTGGATCTTATTCGCTCCTTCAATCCTTGACGGTAACGTTCCTTAAATGCAAGGACGGTTTTTCGTTGAAAAAACCTTTCGCTGAAAGATTTTCCCTTCGCATTACTTCCCTTCGCGAAGCGCTTTTAGAGCTAGCATAACACGAAATTCATAATACCAATCGCACCTGCGCAACAAGTACTTGCGACTTGAAAGAAACCCATAATGGATAAAATGAAAGCTTGACAAGATAAATTAGAGAGCACTAGCGGAGAAAAGGGGCCAAAGAGAAACGACGAGGGACGGAAAGAGAGATCGAGAAAGAGAGGGAACTCGGATCAATGTAGAGCAGTTCTTGATAAAGAACGGTAGAAGTGAAAGGCAACAGTACTCCGGGGGGTGGCAAAGGAGCCCGGCAAAAGGGGAGATTCATGTAAAACTGGAATAAATTACCGTACTGAATGGCACTCCGGAGGGGCGCGAAACCTATTTTCTCGCCCCCTTTTCTTAGGGTGGATCGGATCGAGCGGACGACGATAGCGAGGCACAGCGGTGAATGGAGAAAGATAGACAGATTCGGTGGAAAAGAAAGGAGAGGAGGGTTAAAAAAAAAAACAGAATTTTTCCAACGGGTGGTGCACACGTTCTCGGATTGCCGTTGGGCGAGAGGCGCTTTCAGTGAATAAGTCGTTCTCTTTCGCGTGAGTGCCGGCGCGCCGCGTTTACACGTATGCGCGACAGTCATGTGGGTCACTCGCCTTCACTTTATTTTTCATTCCCGTACTTTATTCATGCGACTCTGCCCACACTTTCTTTCTCTCTCCCTGTCTCACCCATCGGGTAAACGCGCCGATGAAATTTAACACGGCCGGGCTTGTACGTGCCCCAAATTTTTTGAATAATGAGAAAGACTGTATTGCTCAATTACATTTTTATGATCCTATTATAAAAATGTAGAGTGTGTCTTTGTAGAGTGGAACAGAGATATTGCGCGGAGAAAAGTACGATATTCGTTTTCGAAGTATTTTTATATCGGAATGATAAACTTTTCGTATTATAGAAAGAGAATATAATATTCGGATCAGGGGAGATATCGTGTTTTTGAAAGATGGCGAATAGCAAGAGCGCTTTATATGATAAAATACCGAGTATCGACGTGAGTATGCTTATTGGCTAATAATATTTATCTGGCCGATAAAGTGACTTTATTGAAAAGAGAATGCGGCGCGCTACCTCCCTCAATTCAACGTGTCAGGCAACGCGTATCGATAATTCAATCTCCGTGGAACGTCCGCATGCGCGAGCAACAAAGTATCGATAAACTTCAAATGCGGCCGTAACTTCGTTTGTCTTATTTCCTCAGCACTGTAAACATTCCAACATCTATTTCCATCCTTGATCAAGGCATTTTACCGAGAATATATATCTGTACTGACAATCAGTTACGCAATGCAATATTGCTCAAATTGCGAAAATGCAAATTGTCTCTTTTCTTGTAATGAGAAAAGAGATCAATTAAGCCGTTGAAAGCTATTTTTCCAAGCTCCGCAATGAAAAATTTATCTGGTCGAAGCAACCCTTGGTAAATGGAACTCAATAATTCAGGATATAACGTTTGCTGTGCAACGTAATGGCGCATAATGGGGGGGACTAATACAAAATAGTACCGCGACAAGCGTAAACGAGAATCGTGCGTGGGTTGGGTGAACACATTCCCTAATTCCTTATGCGTACCACGATACTACCGCTTAGGTCATCGGATGCTCGGTTGCGGAGTTTATTGCGGAAATTTTGATAATTCATCCCCCGAGCGACATCGAGAAGCGAGGCTAGGCGCGCTGTAACAGGGTTGATATTTAAGGTGGCTGCTGTATCCTCCGGAGATCGAGCCACGAACCCGAGGCTGGCCGAACCAGTTAAATGTTAATGAAGGGATTGGTATTCTTGAAATAGCGCAACACGGTTGACGTGCAGCCCGATCGGGATTGAGGAAAGCACTTTTGACAATTTAATTTATTCTCCCATAGTATAGTCACGTAGACCATGTGTGCGTATATATATTAACATTTTCAATATTAAATTTTGTTGATATAATACTAGTTATTATATATGGGGAAACATACCGCGAACTGGCTGATATGAGGATTAATGTAAGCTTTAGGTAGATTTATATTTAATTGCAGTATTAATATATGCAATGTGTTATTATATTATAAACTACGGTTACGACCCTTATATTGCAATTCCAGTGATGCTAATTATTATGCAACGTA